CTATGTAGATGATCAGTTAAATTTTACCAAATATTTTTTAAAAAATAAAACCCTAAAGATTTATCAAATATTGACATAAAAATAAATTTAACAAATTATCAATTGTCCGAGATACTATTAAAGCTCATAAATATTATCTGCCAGAATGAAAATAATATATTATCGGAAAAGTAGTCGTAGCAGGACCATGTCCGGTGCAATCGCCACCACACGTCACGCTTATATTCTCTATGATGTAAGGGAGTAGTATTATATACAGAACTTGGCCAAAAATAATACTTAGGGTTGTGTGCAGAAGAATGCCAAAAGATGGAAAAAGAGGGGGAAATAAAAGGGAAACATGCACGTACGACACACTTTGGCATTTTGTATTCTTTGCGCATAGACGTTATCTTCCCTGCGGTTTATTACATGCGGCATGGGAATATGTTTTATTTATACTTTTTTATTTTGTGGACTTGGTCTGACTCTGGCTATATGTAGAATGGACCACCTTATTTTCTTTTCTACTCCTTTTTCTTTTACTTTTCTTATGTTATACGGTTTTACTATGTATTTACATCACGATACCAACTCAAACAAAAATATTTAAGATTAAGATATTGTTAAATCTTGTGTATAATGTACAGGGATATATACTATTAAAATATAATAGGTACGTAGTATATATATATATATATATATATATATATATATATATATATATAGTATTGATAGAAATAACTTACCCTGAACGGTTTCATAATAGCATTTAAAACAGATGTGGTGTCCTGATAAAATTATAAACGTTGAACTGGGTAACATTCCACTCTGGTGCATGCTTACTTCTGAAAAAAATAAATAGACGTTAGTACTTTAGTAATTAAAACCATTTTATTTTATTTAAAAATTTTTATTACCTTTCGATTGTCGCTCGTTTCATTCTGATAAATTTCTGAGGTCACTATATAGGTATGCAATCACTATTTTCCAACTCATTGCCTGTAAAACGATTATTTCTTATTTATATCGTTAAAAATATTTATAATCTGTTCAATATAAGCAAATAATCATGAACGCATAGTTGATAAATAAAAATAATTAAATATTTTGTTGAATCTTAGATTACTCATCGAATATTCAATAATTTTTTATTAATGAAGAATATTTAGACCAGCAGAATATTCAACAGTAATATGAATATGTGATATTCTGTCTCTATTTGAACTAGCTACAATTTTTTTTTAATTTTTCGTAATCTATATTATTAAGAGAATAAGCAAAATTTTGTGACCAGTGTATTTATATGATAAAATGGGTTTTTATGGTTCAATTTGGTATCATTGGAAAATTCTTGACTTGAATTTGTGACTTTTCATGGTTTCATATAATTCTCATCAATAGTTATTTTATGATGAAAAGTATTTAGACTGCATTCTAAAATACCCTATCTCTAGATACATAATTAAGAAATGACTTTATATCTCGTGAACTATTGACATTTTTGAAGATATAAGCGCATCCCGATGTTACACTCATCAAGACCTTTCATTTGAGTACCAACATCATTTTTTCATATATTTATATATATTATATATATGTATATATGAAAAATATATCAAAATTCATGTGGGTACTCAAATGAAAGCTCTTGATGAGTGTAACATCGGTATGAGCTTATATCTTTAAAAACGTCAATACTTGAGAAAGTACAGTGCAATTTAACAAAAGCCATCATTTAATAAACCAAAATTTTATTTATTTATAGTTCACAAGTCACCGTAGTCACATAGTGACTACAAGAGTGCTAGTGATTAATGATAAATTGAAAGAGTTAAAAAAATCATCACAAAAATAAAAATTATAATTATTAAACTAACTTCATTAGAAAATTATTGATGTCTATAGCTTGATGATTATCATTTTATAATGTCAAAAAAAGTGGACTTACATTGATGTAAAAATATAAATTAAAAAAGAATGACACTGAAATTGACAGACATTAGAAATTTTTTTAGAATTTTTTAGCGACGAAATTATTATAAAAAAAATTTTTGGTGATAATTTTTAGAAGCACTTTTTTTATTGTTATTGATTTATAATAAAAATTAAAAGAATTTACAATTGTCAGCTAACTTCAGTATCATAAAAAAGATAGTTCTTAAAATTAGAGAAAAATTTTTTTGATATCTTCACTACTTTAATTGTAGAAATTTTTAATGTCTATTACTTACTCCATTATAATATCTTGGTCACTTTAAGCATGTAATTTTAAATATTATTTAATTCTTCTGATACTAATTCAGTTTTAGGAATAATTTTTCGCGTTTAATAGATTATTGACAAACAAATGACTTTTAACCAACGTCCATGTACAACATAAATACAGAAAAAAAAATTGTGAAACAATATGAATGTTCCTTTTATATATTGTATGTTGAAATAAATTTGAAACGCAAAATAAATGTAATGATTGTCCTTATGAAAAACTGCTTAAAATAGTAATTTCGATAATGAACGAGGAAATGAAATATTAATGCTCGGATAACAATGCAGTCTTCTCACTACTGTGCATACATACACCACCGCGATAATTTACTTCTGCTCTTTAAAGGCTAGTTAGGTTAAGTATACATTACAAATGACAGCCTGAGTTGGTGACAGCTGTCTAATAACAAGCGGAAACAAACGGGTCGTTGTAAAAAGGTAAATATACTTATTCACTTTTTGAATGGTTATTTATTTATTTAATTGCTAACTTTTGTTATTATTTCCAGTGATGGTGAAAACTGAAATCGGCCATGTGACAGATCAACGGTATATATAGTAAAAGAACGATTTGCAACTGACAAATTTTTGAATAAATAAACAGTGAGTAAAAAATATTTGCACACTGTCGCGTTCCCATCAGCAAGCATTCAGTGCGACTGAGTTCAGACAATTTTTCTGAAGAAATGGCGCGAATGAAATTTCACGACTAACTGATCATAAATAAATAGTCACAATAAAAGAAAATTTGAAAATGACACAAGAAATTTTTTTATCTCTCACCTTTATCTCTTATTAGTATTTTCCAATGACAGCTTTGGTTTAAAAAATCAAATAAAATCGCGGAAGTCCTCTAGTTTTGATAAAACACACTTAATTAAATTTATGAATGAAAAAGCAACTATTAAATAAAAAAACAACTCGGTAAATCTGTCAAATCACTTGAAAGCGAATAAAATTCGATTTTGTACTATGAAATGAAGGGTGTTACACGCAATTTAGCGCCTTTCGTAATAATAACTGTAGCTGCGCCCTTCATATAGTTTATGGATATCGTTCTGTTATATATCACTCACGGCTCGTTAATTTACCTCAATGTTATTAATGACAAGTCTCACTACTTCACTCTTAAATACAAACATAAATAATTTCTTCACTATTTTGGATAAAAAAAATTTAACATAAAAATTTTAATAGCGCACTTTTTTGTTTTTTTATCCATTTTTTTTTTTTTTAATATAGGCATTAATTTTTGTGGATAAAATATAACGATGAAAAAAATTATTTTAATCATACAATTTAAAAGTTTCATATCATCAAAAAAAGGGTTTGAAAATTTATGAAACTTAAATTAGCTGACAGTTAAAAGAGCAGCACAAAAATAAATACTTGATATAAATTATTGAATTATTATTTAATTTTAATAAATTAATGTCAAAAATATATAATAGGTACTAAAGTTAGCCGACGTTTTTAATTTTTTAATTCTGTTTCAATAATTAAATTTGAATAAAAAAATATTTTTAAAAAATTGCACGTGCAGTTTTTCAAATTTTTTACATGTGCAATTTTTTATTAAAATTTTTTTGTAATAATTTTATTAATGAAAATCAAGTTAGCTGACATTTCAAATTTTTAGAATTTTTTTATCCAAAAAATTTCAATTAAACAATTAAAAAAAAATATCACATGTTAAAAACTTGAAAAACTATAAGTGAAATTTTTTAAAAAGTCTTTTTAATTGTAATTTAATTAAAAAAAAAAAATCAAAAATTTTTAGACGTCTGCTAACTTCAGTGTCATTTTTATTAATAAAAAAAATTCTAAAAATTGTCAGCTGTCTGCTAATTTTATTTTCATTGAAAATTTTGATATTAGCATGAAAAACTATTATTAGAAATTAACATTGTAATTTCATTAAATATGAAATTAATAAAATTTCCTTTAATAAATATTTTTCCGAACTCAATATTATTTAATTTTATTAATAAATTAATAATAATAATTGTGAATAAATTATAAAAATATATTAACTAACCATATTAAGTTTCTAATTTGAATCAATATTTTCAAAATTAGAAATAATTTAAAATTCCCGCCTAAATTTTATTTGAAATAAGTGGCGCTTTCAAGTGGCAAAATATTGTACTAACTCCTCATGTGTATTGATAATTTATTAAATCCACTTTTATTCGAACGAATTGCTAAAAAATTTTCATCCAAAGTGAATGTAATTATTAAAAAAAATAAATATAAATTTTTTTCATACAAATTAATTGAAATTAATACTTTAATTACTATCGACTATTTAATAAATGCAACTAATCGATAGTATAACTCTAGCTCGAAGTCGCGCAGGCGCACTAAGTACAATAAATTGCCGCGCACTAAACAGCAAACACGCGGGTAATCTGTCCTTTATTTTTTTCTTTTGTAATGATTGTACTTAGTGACACCGTAACAAATTATTTGTCAATTGTTTATTTTTGTATTTTTTCATAAGCTTGCTACAATATTATTCCTCCAGGTAATGAATTTTTTTGTTGTCATTTAAAAATTACACAAATATATCTAGTTAAGTTGATAGAAGATTTTTCGAGGTTAGATGTCTTAATAGACAACTGTTGTCACTTTACAAATTGTACTAAATGACATTATTAAGCTAATTGTTCACAATTACAGTCATCTAATATAAAAACAAAATTTTATCAGTTATCATTATTATAACATATTATATTTATAGAAGTGTTACAATGATGTCCGAGGATGATTCATCTGATGAATTCCAACCATCAAAGATAGTAATATCTAAAACATCAAAATTTTTCTCAACAAATAATGAAGCACCTCCAACTTCTGTTCTACAATTTCCTAACTATAATTTGGAAGTATCAACTGATGAAGCGAGTTTAGACTCTAGCCTGTCTCCTAACAAACGAAGTGCACTCCTTTCAGAAGAAGGTAAAATTAAATTTAATTAAAAATTTTTTTATAAAAACTTTAATTCAATTACTGACTATCTAATAAAGTGTCTTTTTAAAATTTAGAAAATGACGATAAATCAGAGAATAAATCAAATGTGCCACCATCACTCCAAGGATCATCAGGACTGTTTCAGTGGCAGCCAAATAAGAAGACCCAGGCGTCACTCCATAAATTTTTAAAGAAACGAAATATAAGTCCGCTGGAAAGAGAATCAAAAAGACAGAATACCAATGGGAATGACGAGGAACTTATGACTGACGATGAAGATGATGAGGGTAAAACAAGAATACCAAGGTTACCAGTTCCATCTGGTCATTCTGTGATGATTGCTGGGGTTGACGTCAAGTTCCCATTGAAGCCTTACTCTTCACAAATTGCAGTGATGAATGCTGTAAGTATTTATATTTATAATTTATATATTCACGAATTTTTAAGATAATAATTAAAGTTAATGGTTTTATAGCTAATCCGGGGGTGTTCTAAAGAACAACATGCGTTGCTGGAGAGTCCAACAGGCAGTGGAAAAACTTTAGCATTACTCTGTGGAGCTCTGGCGTGGCAGGAACACTATGCTCGTGAGTTTTTATTATTGAAAATTGAAAATTTTTTAATATTTAAATATTTATTATATTGAAGTCAGTGGAAATTGAATATTTGTCTTTCATAAATTAAAAATATGCAATGTAGAAAATTTTAAACACTAGGTGTAAACTTTAAATACATTTTCTCTTATGATTTATTTTCTTAAAAAAAAATTATCTGCTAACTTCAATATCGTAAAGTTTTCACTGATGCATGATGAAAAGATTATCATGTACACAGAAAAAAAATTAACTTGATTCAAGAGAAAAATTCTTGAACCAAGAATATAATTTTAAAGAGGATAATTGTCTTGAATCAAGACGAAAAATTTTTGAATCAAGTAAAGTTTCCTTAAGGAGGGTTTACTTTTTTTTCTCTCTCGCCCTCTTTTGGTCAAACGGAAGTATCTCTGTCATACTTGTACAACAAATGGAATCTTAAAAACCATTTTATCCGTAAATAAATGAAAATTTTCAAGAAAAGGCCTTCGCTCTTCGATAGATAATTTAATTATCTATCAAAGAGCGAAGCGTTTTTTTTTTGTTTGAAATTATATCTTATACATGAACAAAACTGTTTGAAAATTAACTATCAACCGCTCTTAAATCAAGAAAAATTTCCTTAATTTTTCTACTCAAATCGAGAATATTAAGCTCTTCAAAATTACATACTTGCTTCAAGAACATTTTTTTTCTGTGTAAAGTATTCAATGCAATGCAATAACAAGATCTACATCGTGTTCTGCAAAATATTGAATGGTAAAAGAGATGATTGCACAGAATGACACAGTCCAGTAGATTAATTAATTTTTAATAAAATGACCACAAGTCTTATTGCTGAAACTTTCTAACTTGTCAAATATTATCGTTGGTGGTTTACTATGTTGCGACTCGTGCCATCGCGTTTTCTTTGGGTATTGTCTCGTGACGTTTGGTCGTTAGCTTCGTCCTCGTCTTGCAGTCGTATCTTAGCGTCTTGCGAGCCAGCTAAACTGACTGCTCTTTTTACCTCCAACTTTGCTGAGTCTTTAGAACGTGTGAATCCCTGAAAATTCAAATCAACCTACACAAGGGATATTCCCAATTTTTACTTCCTTGTCTCATTTTTTTTTATTTTTACTTCTACAAGCAGTAAAAAAATGAGCCATACAGTTCTTATCAACTTTTTTAAACTGGCAAAAAACCTAATTAGAATATTTTTTATTTTTACGAAAAATTTTTTGCTTCATATCTTAATGTTCCTAGGTATTGTATTTAAACTGTCGTTTCCCTTTACCTGGTAAGACGTTTAACCTTTTGTAATACTGTAATATGTTTTCATACATACACTTACACAATTTAAATGATACTATAATATAATACAATAGTATTAATTCGCAGTAATTAATTACAAATGAGTTACTGTAAGTTCTTTTCGCACGAACATTAAGTGGCACGTACGTATGAGAAATCAGTGTGGAAACTACATAAACGTCGACACGACTCATGAAACAGTGCAAAGAGAGATACGGCTGTTGGCCACCCCCACCTTTTTCTCCCTCATTCCAACAAAGCGTGGCAAGAAAGCGAACCAACAATTAGCAATTCCTCGCTTGCCATATCAATTTAAATTATTCAAACGCTTATTTCAAGTTAATAATAACGTGCGCTTTGCTTCTGTTAGTCTATGAAATCATCATCTTCCTGCTGTTTATATTTATGATTTTCAAATCTACATTATGTTAATCCGACAAATTTACTTCATATTTTAAGTAATTTAGGTCAGGTTTTATTTAATTTTTCTATGAGTATTTAAAAATTTACAATTAAACCTTGGATTTATTTTGAGTTTCAGAATAACTAAAAACTTAAAAACTAAAGAAATATTTTTCAAAACGATATTTAACGATGACATTTCAATTTTAGTGTTATATAAATTTATGTCTCATATTATCCGGAGTCTTTATCTTTCGACAATTATTTGATATTACTCAATAATGTTCGAACTTTGATGAGTTTCAGATCGCTTCTGTCCGAAATAACTTATTAGCCTTCTTAGTACCTACATTTCTCCGAAAATAATCTAAAAATCGATTCACTCGCATGTGTGCTATCTGATTAGTGATAGTATTAATAGGAGTGTTAAAAAAAGGGCGGTGAATTATATATCGCTGTTGAGCTTTTATTTATTTCGTCGAGTCAGATATTTAGTACTTTGTGTTATCTATTGACAGCTAAAAATTAAATTTATTAGCTACTCTAACACGAAAAAATAATACGTATTAAGGAAGTTGTTGCGTGAAATCTTTCAATAGAAGGTATTAATGAAATTTTACTTGATTTTTCTTTTATTAAATATAAATCTCAAGAACCTAATAAATTTTAACTGACCGTCTCAATCTTGAAATAGATAATATTAATATTAATATCATAGTTTGAATTTTTTCATGTGATCTACCCGTATATTTATTATTTATATTGAATTTGTTACAAAATTGAAAAAATACCAAACGTTAAGTAGTTAGGCACAAATTATGAACAAAGATTTTTCTTAATCAAAGAAATTAAGTTGAAATAAATTTTCTCCATAGTAAGCTCCATAAAAGCTGCTTAAAAACTAAAACTTTTACAACATTTATTTTGGACTTTAAGTAATCAATTTAAATTTGTATTATTTTGCCAAATTTTTTATTTTTAATTAATTTGAAGTATAAATGATATTAGTACTTTTCTTTAATTAATTGAATTTGCTTTATAGCAAAAAAATTAATATTCTAAATTGATAAAAATTAAATTAAGATATAGAAGGTATATCAAATAAAAATACTGAAAAAAAATAAACTATTATTTTCTTTAAATAAATAATTGATTTCGTGTAAACCAAACGAACATGAGAAGTAAATTCTAAAGAATATAAACTTAAAAGCAATAAATGATGATTGATATTCAGTAATGACAGTTCGTTGTGCAAACAGTTAAAAAGTTCCTCAGTAAGGGGTTTGTCTATAAAATTGAAAGAGATTATCAGATAGACTATAGCATTTAGATAATTTGAAAATTCTAGTTATTTGTCATAGCCGTTTAATTTAGTCGATAACGAGGCAGCTGCATAGGCGCGGGGAGACAGTAAAGATCGGTATACTCCTCCAAAAGGGGGAGAAGATAGCTCGTCCCGGTCTCACATTTTTAAGGCAAACGAAAACGATCGCGTGCCATTTTGGGAGACTCGTCAAATTAAACGTTTCTCTAACGTTAACGTCGAATTTGCGTGTGGAATCCTATCTAAGTTTTTTTCGTCCCTCAATTCTTTTCTTCTCTCACTAGTTTACTTTTTCTCAACTCTTTTTTTTGCTATTCTATCCTTCACTTTTTTTCGTATCTCTGTTAATTCTTTTTCTTCCTCTTATCTCATGTTCCTTTTTCCGTTTGCTCACCATGCCGGGAACACACTGGAACATAAATGTTGTAATTCCAGGCTCCCGCGATTCCCATGGTCGCAACGACATGTAGAATTAGTTTCGAGAGAAGTTAATATAAGTATGATACAACTTTAACTGAAGAAATAAAAATAAGTTCCTCATAATGTACACCCAGACAGTTCAGTGGTAAAGAAGATGATGATGACGATGAGGAACATTCCACGTGTCTTTGTTATGCTATAATTTGTAGCCAGAGACTGTTTAGATGACATGCAAACTTTTATTTTATTCTCGACTCGTCTATTACAAGTAGCGACATATATTATGCATAAAATTTCCAGAATAATTTTATTACTTTACAATCCTGATGCTTCATTAGTAATATCAACAATAAAAGCTTGATTAAGGTAATACAAACGTCCCAAAAATGTCATCGTGTTCTTTCATTATCTTGTTGACCAGGTAATTTCACTGAAATTATCATGCCACCATGTATCTCTTCGCAACTAACAAATGTCTTGATGCAACTCATGAGTTTTATTCAGCAAAAAAAAAAAACATTTATACTTTTAATGTCGTGCTCATGATTGTGCACAAGTACACGATGTCTCCGAGTCTAATTTAAAATTTATTTTCTTAGACCTGGACTCATTTCCGAGGGTATAATGATTCTACATAATACTTTCCTCGCAACTATCATATTTCATTGACAATTATTAACGTCGAGAACTTTTGGAAAAGTAACCTCGACACGAAGCATCAACCAAGTATAACAATTGTCCTCCTCTCTCCTTTTTGTATGCATCGTCGCATGATATTTCTTTCTAGAGCCATAAAATATAAAGATCTAAGGTATATCATTTATTTTATATTATATATTCTATATGTACAACTCACCTCGAGTGGTACTACTAGCCGCTGAACTGTTAAAACTTCGTCATGAAAAATATTTAATACTGCATAAATTAGTAATTTTAAGTTCGACAAACAATCTACAGACTGTTAAACAGTGACATTGCTAAAAAAAACCAACAAAAGGTCACTCGGAGGTCGCACGAGAAATAAAAATGACATGCAATTAAATCGATGATTCTTAAACTATTCGATAAAGTATTCAAATGAATTTTTTTTTTTTTTTAAGACTCTTTCTCAAACTCGTAATCGAGTGGGCGTGTCATCATCGAGTTCTCACACTAAATTTCCAGGTTTTAGATCATCCCGATAACAAATTGAAATTTCTGATTTGTGACTTTACTCTTTATAATTAATTCCCTTTTTTTTTAGTTTTCTTCTTCACCTTTAATTTACGTCTCAAAGTGTCATTAAACAAAACCTCAGGCTTTTATTCTTTTGCCGATCGTTAAAATACATGGCAGTGCTTTTAACTAACCACAGTAAGAATTTTCCCAGCAGGCAGACTGCTTCTATTTTCGTATAGAAAATTCGAGTAAACATGAAGACTACGCTCGGCGAAAGCAAGGTGGATTAGGATTATCACGGATATGCAGGTAGACTGGAAGATGATCGCTCCCAGAAGAGCCTTGTAGAGATTCTCAAGTGCTAATTCATGAACTACGACATATGTAACATCGCATGTAATCCATCATGTGATATGATATGATATGTGAGCGTAACAACTAGATCGTATGCAGCACGATAACGAGAAGTTTA